TGGTGGCGGCGGTGGCAGCAACAATAAAGTTATGCCTTCTTTCTTTGCGTGAACATTTGGGCGGCGTTATGCAAATCTTCCCACATTGTGACGTAGATATGTGGGGGCGTTTAAACGAGCTGTTTTAGGAGGGAGTTGACAAGTCTTAACTTTTATAAAGAATATCTCTTTGGATTTGAGACTTTAGTCTTTGCAACTTTAGGGATCTTATCTATTCACGAACAGCTTGTAACACTTCAAAGAGAAAGGAAAACTTGAAATTGCATGATATGACCCCTTTAAAATCAAAAGATGGGACAAACCTTTTAGCAGGCCATATGATTACTTAAAGTCTTACTTAATTTTGTAATTTTATAATTTTTAATCAAAATACCTGAATCTTCCAGTAAAAATGTTTAGACTTTTGCAGGACTCTCCAGTCATTTGTATTCTGCAAAAATCCTTGCTCTTGTAAGTTCGCCTTCATCTGCCTCTACATCTAAAAAACCAAGAATCAAGTTCCCACCCTATAATTTTATTTATTTATTAATCTTACACTCAAATATACATTAAAATGCAGAAGAAAAGATCTGTCGCTTCTGTTACATTGCGATTTTATAACAGTTACTACTTTGTTCTGGCAGTCGGATGACGCTTAATAAATTTGCTTGATAGGAGCTTTAATTTGTGTCCCTAATAGTTTTATTGTGGTAACTATTTTATAAAAGCAGTAAGGCCTTAAAGGCTGTGCTGTATTTAAAGATGAGAATTAAGCATTTACTGAATGCAAGAATACAGAATTCAACATTGGCTGAAGGTAGTCGTTACAGAGCAAAAGAAAAAATGGAAATGGTTCTCGATTTCCACCCTTAGCTCACTTTGTGCCCTTTCCAATGACAGTGTTAACCATATGGCGCAGCCTCTTGTATTTTATTGCTTAATTGTGGCATTTTAAATGCTAATTTAGATAGGGAGAGTGTCATGTGCCGTTAAGCAATTTACATAGAAATTGTAAGCGGCAGCTTCACTGTCTGTTGCAAGTCCCATCAGCTGTTGCCTCGGGTCAAACCTTTCTATTAAGCAAAGCAAGCCGTTTTTGTATGCAGATAAAAATCCTGTGAGAATATTTAGTGTGTCATTTGCTCAGGGAGTAAAATTTTTGCATTGCAAAAAATGTGCTTGTCTTAAAAAAATAAAAAATTCTTGCTGATCATTTTCCAGATAATTAAAGTCAGTTTTATGGCTACAGCTGCAGATGGCAATGATATCCATCCAAGTGACAGCAAAAGAGAGAGCGGAGGGGGGCAGGTGGAGAAGATAACGGAGGTGTTTCTTCAGAAGAGCAGGGTCGTGTAGATGCGAGCAGAATGTGACTGTCTCTTTAAAAAACCGACAACTGCCTAACTGCGTCTAGTACTGCTTGTCAGTGCCGTGGAGGTTCGTGCTGGTTGGCCAGCACTCAAAGCCCAGGCCTCTGATTGGACTGCTGCTGCGGGGGAGGGGCCAGTGTGGATGACATGGGAGATGGGTGTCTGCCAGGCAAAAACAGCCTGACACTGATTGTAAAGGGTGGAGAGACAGCGATAGAAGGAGAGGAGGGGAGAGAAGACAGGCGCGTGGATTTCATGATGCAAGGTTTGGACCTACATGTACCTGTTTGATGTTACGTGTGTGTGTGTGTGTTGCTTCGAAGATGCAGTAATTCACATGGGTGTGGTGTCAGAAGCAGGCGTAGTTTTCTTTTTTGCCGCGTCTAGTGCGTGTCCTTGCAGCTTGAGCAAGAGTGTGTGTGTGTGTGTGTTGGCCAAGCAGGAGGCAGGGTGTGGTGCAGCTGTATTATCATCCACCCACCCTTCCCCCCCTCTCCTTGAGACCGTGTGAGGACCATGTGGGGGGTGAAATGGCGAGGGAGGGAGAGTGAGAGAAGGTTTGGGAGGGGGGTGAAGCGGAGGAGAAATGAGCACTGAATGAATGGCATTGTTTGCATGGCCATGCTTGTGTTGCGGCCCTCTCTCTTTCTCATACATCCTGGCGCGGACTCAACGCACGGCATCTGTGCTCTCAGCGCCGTTCTCGTCCTGACCCTACAGCAATAAGTGTTTGCATTGTTCCTTGCGAAAGCACCGTGGACTGTGAATTTTGCAGCTCTGTTGCCTGTTTTATATATTATGTGTTTATTCTGCCTCCCCAGTGCTCTTTTACCACCATCAAACAATGCGTGCTTTTCCACACGGCACTGATTTGCAGGAAAAGAGTGCAAATATTTGTCTTTAAGACCTCATTATGGCTCACTCCTTAATCATTCACCATGCACGGGAGTGTGATAGCACGAGTGTGTGTTTTAGTGAACATCACGGAGGCGTCTTACCCCACCCCCATTTCAGCCGCCAGTGCAGCAACACCTGTCAGTTATGGAAGGGGGGCGTCGGGTCTTAAAATCGTAGAACGTAACATGGCTGTTCAGATCATCATCACATTCGGTTTTACATGAGCATCGTTTAGTAGAAATAGGTTTTGGGATTTGTGAGTTCTTGGATGAATGGTTTAACACCCTTTTCCCCACTACTATTCTCAGACGAGTGTGATAATAAGATCATAATTATATGATGAGCAAAATCATCACACCTCCTTATGTGATATTTCTGGTACGTGCCGCCTCTGAATTGCATCTCTTAAAATGGCCAGTTTTGGTGAAGCCGTGATGAATTTCGTTTCGAAGTTTATGTAATGCAGTTTAATGATCGTGGTGCACAGAGCATCCTGATGCATGATGGAAATCTGATGACACAGATCAATTAAGTTCTCCTATTGCATCCTTTTATGTCTCGTCCCGAGAATCCTGTTTCTTGTCGTATGTTTGTCCCAGGTTAAATTTGTTTTTGCATTTGCTCAGAAATGTCCTTCCTGTAGTTGTTCTGTATTTGGCTGTAACAGGCAGAAGTTCCCCATCGTCTGACATATCAGCTACCCTGCTGATTTAAAATAATGTGCAGCCATTAACAAAAAAAGCCATCACTGCTTTTTTTGCAGTCAGTTGTGACTGTGTACTAAAATACTTGCTTTCACATATTCACCATTTCTGTGAAGTCCCTGTCACGGGCTGTATATGCAGTGAATACAGTGCTGCTTTGTGAGAAGGATGTTTGTTCAAATAGTTTTTGGTCTGTAGTACCAATTTTCTTTAATTTGTCATTCTGTCTTGTAATGATGCTGTATTGCATTGTCACAGCGGCTTTTATGCTGTGTTGCCAACAATTTTGTGTGCATCTCGCAATTCAATCTAAAAAGTGTTGACAGTGCTTTAATGTGCAGAGATGCATTTGAAAGTGACAGGTTCTTATTAGGCATGTTCAAATCTACATGTACTCAAAATGGACCACTACACACTTTATCAAACATGTTTCTTAGGGGTGTATGAAAGGTAAATTTAGACTTTAAGTGGGGAAATTGATAAATGGTCAGTTAATAAATGGGCCAAATAGCAGAACTTTTTATTGCACATATTTCATGGTCTTTACAGAAAACTGATATCTGCAGATTATCACACAGGTCCCTCAAAACACATATTTCAAGCAGTAGTGCTTTAAATTGGATATTACAATTAATACTGTAATAGTTATTCTGAATGTGTTGATGGTTAAGTAACTTTCAAACCTTGATGGTGTTTTGTTATTGTAGTAATATCACTATGAATAGAGATGTGCAAAATACTTTTTACCACTAGATGAAGTGTGATGGAGAATGCAGGGATCACAAATGTTGAAATTTACATGTCATCTTAAAGGGATAGTTCACCAGAAATTAAAATGGTCATTTACCAGCCTTCATATCATTCCAAACCTGAATGGCTGACTTTCACAAAAGCAGATATTTTGAGAAATGTCTCTGTATGAATTTTTTTTTTTTAAGCCCATTTCAATTAAAGTCAACACCACTTTTTGGTCACAAACATTTTTCAAAATATACAAAACGACATAAGGGTGAGTAAATCATGAGAGAATTTTCATTTTTGGGTGAACTATCCCTTGTTTCTATATTAAATTGAAAGCTTTCTATATCTAATGTATTAGACCTTAAGTGGTTAGTGATGGTTTAGTAGGCTGAAGACAAAGATAATTTGGCCTCCAGTCTGCTGAATGTAGGTCATTATGAGTCATGTGAAGACTCCCTGCCCCCTTTCCTCATCTCCTTCCCTCCCTCTGTCCCCTGCTCACACTTTCGTTTGTCAGGTTGGGGGGGTTGGGGTGGACCCTGGAGTTATTAGGAGCTGTTGTCTTGCCTCATAGTCGTAACAATCATAAAATTGTTTCCTGGAATTTGAAGCCTCTAACATTCAAAATTTAACAAAATTCTCTGTGGCATCGCAGTAGTTTGGAGTCAAGTGATAGACTTTTGTTGATGTAAATCTTCTATTTGGTAGAAATGCTGATAGTCTTGAAAGGCTTGGAAATATTTGGTTTTGCCTCTCATAATGAGTTAGGCTGGATAGTTATTGAATGCTGCTTAACTGTTGGCCAGCATGGCTCTGAGGAAACTGAAAGGCCTTTTAAAATCAGTCAACCGATTATTATACGTACCACCTAATCTGATTTAATGAACCTTGAAGTAAATGTCATCTTGATTGCAGACCATGGCAGATGCTGCTGTTGTTTATTAACATGACTAGCATCCATAAGCCAAGCGGGTTTTAAAATGTCTGCTTATAGACATGTAAAGAACACAAATATGGAGTTTTGTGAGATGACCAGAATTGTGGGCATTTGAACAAATTAAGTTCCCATTACATGTAATAAATGATTGAGTAAGGTTATTCTTGGTGTCCTGCAGGCATTCGACCACCCATCCTCAATGGCCCCATGCACCCTCGTCCTCTGGTGGCACTGCTGGATGGGCGGGACTGTACGGTGGAGATGCCCATCCTGAAGGACGTGGCCACCGTGGCCTTCTGTGATGCCCAGTCCACCCAGGAGATCCACGAGAAGGTAATGTCACAGGTTGTGCCCATATCCCAGGCCTTTATACAGTGCGTTTCATAGGTTTTTTACTCTGCAGGTCTTAAACGAGGCTGTTGCTGCTTTGCTCTACCACACCATCACGCTCTCGCGAGACGACCTGGACAAGTTTAAAGGTCTTCGGGTCATTGTGAGGATTGGCAGTGGGTTTGACAATGTTGATATAAAAGCTGCAGCAGAGCTGGGTGAGTTTTGTTCCTGTGTTGTGAAATGATTGTGAGTTCAAGTCAAACTGACTTGTTTGTATTGGTTCTTTGTCTTAAACAGGTATAGCAGTGTGTAATGTGCCAGCCGCGTCTGTGGAGGAGACGGCAGACACCGCAATGTGTCTAATTCTGAATCTGTACCGCCGCGTCACCTGGATGCATCAGGCTCTGCGCGAGGGCACCCGTGCCTCCAGCGTGGAGCAGATCCGGGAGGTGGCAGGAGGCGCAGCACGTATTCGAGGGGAAACGTTGGGCATCATTGGACTGGGTGAGTCCTGACGTATTTTACTCAGGGCTCAAAGAATCGGCTCAGTTAAGGCGAGAGCTAAAACTTCTATACATATAAAATAACTAGAATATAAGTTGTATTACTAAATATGAAACATGACAAACTGCAGCTTTTAATTAAATATTTATTTTAAAAAAGCATGACACTACAGGCAAAATCTTTTTTCTCGACGATCATTCTCGTAAACGCAGTCGGTTATGTTTTAAATGAATGTAAACAGCTGAGAAAGAAATCGGATGTGTATCATTATACTGGATCCGTGCAGTCGGTTTTAAAGGGACAGCAGCCTACAAATACGTGCTGACAACAAAACAGCTATAACAAAGATTAATCTAAATTTTATTCATACAGTGAACACTATGCAGTGTTATTTTACACTTAATTCTTAAATTTCTGTACCTGAATACTATTGTTTATATTATCTATGCTTTTCGCGTCTGTGGAGGAGACGGCAGACACCGCAATGTGTCTAATTCTGAATCTGTACCGCCGCGTCACCTGGATGCATCAGGCTCTGCGCGAGGGCACCCGTGCCTCCAGCGTGGAGCAGATCCGGGAGGTGGCAGGAGGCGCAGCACGTATTCGAGGGGAAACGTTGGGCATCATTGGACTGGGTGAGTCCTGACGTATTTTACTCAGGGCTCAAAGAATCGGCTCAGTTAAGGCGAGAGCTAAAACTTCTATACATATAAAATAACTAGAATATAAGTTGTATTACTAAATATGAAACATGACAAACTGCAGCTTTTAATTAAATATTTATTTTAAAAAAGCATGACACTACAGGCAAAATCTTTTTTTTTTCCCCCCCTTCCATGCACAGGTCAATTTTGAGATTGTGGGCTTTTTGGCCCTTCATAATGTGTAGTTTCAGACTAGTTGAAATAAAACATCCAAAATACACATTTAAATTTTTATTTCAATGCACTGTCTATTTGCATCTGTTGATTTCAATTACAGTACATATCTTTAAAGGCCCTTTTTCCCCTGTAAATCTCCACTTTAATAGCACTTACACCAAACTTTATAGTTTTATATTACTGTTTATATTTTTAAATATTTTTTAAAGGGTTTGTTCTAGTGCTGTCAAATCGATTAATCACATCCAAAATAAAAGTTCCCTCCTGTGACCCATGGTTTGTTTGTATGTGAATTCAGAGCCAGTGAGCAACGGGCTTTCAAAATAATAATAATAATAAAAACTGCGTCAATGTGTTATAAAATAATTGCCCAGCCCTAATATATATATATATATATATGTATATGTTTTTTTTTTTTCATTTTAATGATTTATAGTATACATATAAATATTTATTACATAAATCTCTTAAAAATATACATGTGTGTGTTTATATATACAGATAAATATACACTGTACACACGCATATATTATGTAAACAAACTTTTATTTTGGATGTGATTTAATCGATTTGACAGCACACTTTGTTCATATAATTTGCTGTAGTATGTAAATAAAATAAAACATGAATTTAGAACCTGGCTTCATCCAATGTTCATATTTCTGCAAATGTATGCAAATTAGTGCATCTTCATTTTCATAATGTGTCATTTTCATATTTAAACATAACATTTTAGAAAACCTGTAATACAAAAAATGTTTGCAATTCTTAATGTAATCAATCAAATGAGGGTTTATGGTGTTTTCTATCTATTTTATTTTTTTAAACCAAATTTACATGGTGTCTTGTTTTAAAATGAATCATCAGTGAAAACCTCAATCTAATCTCAGATTTTAACTGATTTGAGGTTAGTAATGTGGTCCAAACTTGAGACTAAAATGATTTCTTATGATGGCTGTTTTCAGGACGTGTTGGCCAAGCAGTTGCTCTGAGGGCAAAGGCCTTTGGGTTTGGAGTGATTTTCTATGACCCGTACCTGCCAGATGGGGTGGAGCGATCACTAGGCCTCCAGCGCATGGCGACACTACAGGACCTGCTCATCCACTCAGACTGTGTGTCGCTACACTGCAGCCTAAATGAGCACAACCACCACCTCATCAATGACTTCACCATCAAACAGGTACAAACGCAGTTCTCCAGCAACACTCTTCTCATTGAACAGCACTGTTGAAGCCCTTTAGTTCCCTGACTGCTTTTGGTATGAAACTGGGTCTCTTTTTGACATCGGAGTTTGATTAATTTGCTTCATGTGAAAGCTGTTTTCTGAACTTGGGTTTACACAACGGGACCGCACCCATTGCGTAAAATGTAGGACTGGATTATGGTTCATGTGGACTCCAGTGCGGCTCGCAGTTGGTCTGACGACAATCCGGCCTAATTTTCAAAAGTAAACCGGCGATGCCTTGTGCGTTACACAATTATTTTCAAGATAAATGGGAAAAGTTTTTTCTTCATTTCATACAACACAGAGAGAACAACATTCTCTCTGCCACAGATATGGACTCTAAAGAGAGCAAAAATAGTGAAAAAGTGATGCAAACAGTGTCGTTACTTAACTGCAGTTGCTGCTAGATAGAAAATGCTCTTCATTTGAGTGCAAAATAGCTTGCTGTAAAAAGAGACCCGTGGTTTCAGGAGACTGATGTGGAAATGAACTAAGTGTGAAAACTCTTATAAGCAGGTTGAATTTGGCTTGCTTTTAATATCTATCAATGCTTTTATTTGTAGATGCGTCAGGGTGCTTTCCTCGTGAACACGGCGCGTGGCGGTCTGGTGGATGAGAAAGCTCTGGCCCAGGCTCTGAAAGAGGGCAGAATTCGGGGAGCAGCCCTGGATGTCAATGAGACAGAGCCCTTCAGGTGAGGGACTCAAGTTTGCTGTTTGCTTTCATTATTTTTCTGACTTGTTACTGCTACTGTAATTTTCTCACTTCAGTTTCACTAAACTACTATGGCTACAATTGGCCTGTCAAAGCCCACACGTTGAAGTAAAAAAAAAAATTCTATCATGACACTAATTCCATTTTCTTCTCCAGTTTCTCTCAGGGCCCACTAAAGGATGCCCCAAATCTTATCTGTACCCCACACACATCCTGGTACAGTGAACAGGCCTCAATTGAGGCCAGAGAGGAGGCGGCGCGGGAGGTGCGCAGAGCCATCACAGGTCAGAAAACCCTAGTTTTGCATGAGTATTCGTTTATTTTCTTTGGCATGCTTTGCAACACTTATTACAGAATGAACAATATGCAGAGTACTAGAAAACATTTAAGTATTCATGTGCAGCTCTAATTGAGCTGCAGCAAGTTTTTTTGCCAAGGTGGCAGTTTTCATCTGTGATACTGTGCTGTCTTGTGTCTGTGCAGGTCGTATCCCAGACAGTCTGAAGAACTGCGTGAATAAGGAGTATTTGATGGCAGCCTCTCAGTGGCCGTCTATGGAGGCCACCACCGTGCACTCTGAACTCAACGGAGCTGCAGCGTATAGGTAACTACACCTCCATCCTGACTGCCATTAGTGCTTTTACAGTATATGATCGTATTTGAGAAAGTGAAAACATGACTGTGTCTCTTGCAGGTTCCCTGCAGGGCTGATTGGCGTAGCAGCAGGCGGGCTGCCTGGAGCTGGGGCAGGAGTGGAGGGCATTGTGACTGGATCTCTGCCCCTGGCCCACGGCATCGCCCCGGTCTCACACCCGCCTCACACCCCATCGCCCGGGCAACCCTCCAAGGCCGAGGCAGACAGAGACATCCCTTCCGACCAATAGCATCCCAGCACATTCCATCTTTGCCCTGATCGATGCCCTTTCACCTCACCCGGGGGGACTGACGCCCCTGCTTTCGATGTGACCTTGGGTCACCCCAGTCCAACAGAACATGTGTACAAACCCAGGAGTGAAACCCTGTACCCCGAACGTACCCCTCATTTCCACTCGCTCTATCCTCTGTTGTATACTTTGGCAGAAAGCAATAACTTCTCTCAAGGATTCAATAATTGGGTTGATACACACTATTTCTAAGCTACGAAATCCCAGTTCCTTTGCTTTGTATCTACTCTGGACTAGTTGGAGTTTGTTTCCGAGTAGTGTTTCTTACATTTCTGTTCTTTTCTTATCTGTTTTAACAGGCGTGGAAATAAACGCATGGACCTTGTTTTCTTTCCTTCGTCCCCTGCCCATCCTCCTCCTAGCATACATTTGTAAAGCCTTCTCAACCTGTCCCTTTTTAGCAAACGTTTGATCATCAAAACACAGTAACAGCTGGCTAACGTCTTTGATTAGATTCAGCAGCCATCAGCAATTATTTCACAGCAGGTGTTCAATAACAGAGATCAAGGCTAATGGTTATGGCCCGTGGCTAAGAGTAACAGTCCAAGGGAAGAGCTCAGATGTTTCGCGTTCCTCTCACTCTCTCTTCACGTGGAAGGCATCTTCTAGAATTGTCCAGTTTCTCTCTCTTTTTGCCGAAACCAAGAGAGCTTCACCCCCAGAGCTGTTGGGGGTTTGATCGTGTGCTCCACTTAAGTCACAAGATTTACAGCGTCCGTAATGCCTGAGGTCTGCATAAGTGTCACTGAAATCACATACGTGAGATTCCATCGTCCTGTGATGGCCGAATTCATTTTATTTTGTGTGCTGCTTTGTGAACAGCTTGATAATGATGATGGGAGATCGCTCATAGGCAGCCAGCTTCATAAATGAAAGTTTCAAACAAAGCCATATTCATGCAGTGTATAACATTGCTGATTTAACAAGACACAACTGCAAGATTTGTGACACCTTAAACCTACCTTCAAAAAGACAAAAGAGGCTCATTTTACAATGTGTGCGTACAACATTGACCTCCGCTCGACTCATACTGAGATCCACCATAGCTAAGCTGATAACATTGGCACCTCTTTTTATTCGTAGCCATTAGAAAAATATTTGCCTTGTTTTCCATATCTTCTCTCTGTCCTGGATTATCTCTTGCTGTACTTCCTCCTCGTGCCTCCTTTTTCCGATTAGGCCTTCTCTTTGTGATTCGGCGAGGCACACTTGTCCACCCTTCACCCACTCGTCCTCCAACTGTGTAGCGCATCCGCCCGCCCAGCCCTTCCTCCCCACAAGGCACTTAAACTCTTAACACACTCAAACACATTTTCATACAGACCTGGTTTAGGCGAGCTGTGCTCTGGAGGCTGCCGTACCATTGAAGGCCAGCAGGTGGCGACGACTCGCTTTCCCCCTCAGGTTCACGGCTGATTAATTCATTCGTTTCTTGCACAGAGAGTCTCGTGAAGGTTTAGGAGAGATTCAGTCAGACCTGTTGTGGGCCGCACCATATGTCGCTTATCGTCGACACTCTTCCAGATACTCAGGATGGGTGATGTGCCGGCTCTGCGCCACACTGAATTAAAGCAGGTCATTTACCCAGAGCTTGACATTATCATGGCTGTCCTCTATGATATCAGCCTTCGCTTTCTCTGCGTTTTCACCATTTAGAGCACAGGAGATAAGGTGGAAAGAATGTAAAAGCTAGGTCACTGGAACGCTGGTTGCTTTCCAAAGAAGGTAGGAGAGTGTCTCGGGATAGCCTTCTGTCTGAAGAGAAAGGCCTTTCTAGTACCTCAGTAACAGATATTGAATGTATGCTCAAATCTTTCTCGCTTTGTACAGCTTTTTTTTTTTTTTTTTAGATGCACAGAAACATCAAGAATCTCAACAATGTTGACAATCAACAAAATGTTTTTTTGTGACTTTAGTAGCTTGCTTTGTGACGTTCAGAGTTGATTTGTTTATGATCTGAATATTTAGTCACCGTTGTTGAGATTCAAACGCTGATTCTTGATGTCTGAGTGGGTCTGAATGACCCTGTCAAAACATTTTCTGCATAATGGCTTTATAAAATGTTTTTTTTTTTTTTTTTTAGATAATAGGTTCTATTTCTGAGGGTGTGTGTATGCGTCTGCATGTATGTGACCGTGTGTGACTGCTTATCCAGTGCATCAGTTATTCGCAAAGCCGTTTTGTTTTCTTCCTCCAAGCATAGGATGTCTATTATATTGTTTCATTAGATGTAGTTTGAATCTCAGGCTTTAGCTTTAGGAAGTTCTCGATCTGTAATTTTCTGTATAAAGGAGCACAGTTTCATGTCTTCGTCGAGATGTATGCTAATAAACGGAGGAGGTTTGAAACTCTTATGATTGGGGTAGATTTGCTACCTGCAAACAGGCCGTTTTTGATAGCTGTCGTAAGTGTCCCGAATGGTGGTCGTCCTCAGTTGTCAATCCTCATGGATTCATGCATGATAATGAGATGGTCGTACCTATCAGGCCCCTCCCCCTCGCTTCCCCATTGGCTACGTGTTGATGATGAATTTTGAGTGACTTGCAGCTTTTCTTAGACTGAAGTGATGCCCTTTATTCTCGTCAAGACTGTAAAGTTTCTCTGTACTACAGCGTTTTTGAATTTTTCGAGTTTCTTCTTGCATTATCGTGGTGTTACTTTGCCGTCAGCATCATCCAGCTTTGATATGAGATGTGCACTGTGTGTTAAAACCAAGAAATTAGACGTTTTGATCTAGTTTGTGTCATTCAGTGTTCAACATGTTGTATTGAAACATTTCAAGACGAGTGTTGTTGGATACTATGACCCTCAGCATCCCGTTTCCCGTCTTCGTCCTGTGCTCCCCTTGCGGCCTTAATGTCGTAGATCGTGGTGGGCTTGGTGAATCTGTTTCTCGACGAAACCCCCGACCTCTCCTCTTTCCCCCGCAAACACACATGCAAGAGAGAGGAGGCTGTTTTCTTTAGCCATATGTTGCTCATATATCTGGAGAACACAAATGGCTTTCACTTTGAGGTGTGAAATGCTCAGGCACTATGAAAGACCCTTTCAGGAGCCACCGATGTGGTTAAATCTAGTCTGTGAAGGGAGGCTGGAGAGGACAGATATGGACTCGCTGCAGTCGGTTTCTCTCTCAGGGTTCTAACACACACACACACACACATCCCACAGCCGCCAGTTACACTCTAACTCCATCCCAATGAAGATCGTGTTGTAGATCTCCGGAGCTCTCTTACACAGTCCATCTTTCAACAGTGAGTGTCCCTCTGTGATAGTTTTCCTTTCTATCGCTCTCTTCTCCTTTCTTTTTGCGTATTTGTCGCACTGACACCTAACAACAGAAGAATGAATGTTTTAATAGAACTGCGTGTAACGTTGAAGTTGGGAAATGTATTTTTACAACATGTGAACTTTTTATTCCTTTCTCTTACCTTCTTTTTGTTGTGAATTGATTTTTTTTTTCCCTTTCTCCCCATCACCAGACTGCAAAAAAAGTAAAAACCACAACAAAAAAACACAAAACCTGTAACTAGGCTCTTAAGCTTTACTTTTGTTTTTGTTTACTTTTTTATTAGAAAACAATCATGTTTGTGATGGTAACCTCTGATGGTAAATTCCACAAGGTATTTTAATAAAATCCTAAAGATTAAACCCTTGGTCGCTCACTCTTTTCTGACATGTCTTGAAAAGCTGAACTTTTTTTTATTTTATTTATTTTGCTGCTTCTGTAATGTGACATACTATTCAAAAGTTTGGGGTCAGTCAGTTTTTTTTTTTTTTTTTTAAAGAAATTTTTACATTACATTTATCAGAAGTGACAGTAAATGTATTTACAAGGTTTCAGACAATTTTTTTTAATTCTCTTCTTTTGAACTTTCTATGAATCAAATCTTTTTCCTGTTTTCAAAATTGATAAGAAATATTTCTTGAGCATCAAATCAGTATATTAGAATGATTTCTGAAGGATCATGTGACACTGAAGACTAGAGTACTGATGCTGACAAAATTCAGCTTAATTACATTTTGCAATATTAAAATAGAAAATGGTTGTTTTAAAATGTAATATTTATCAGTATTGCTGTTTTATTAATAAAATAAATGCACTGTACATAAGACTTTTCAAAAACAAACAAATCCTATTGACCCCAAACTTTTGAATCAATTTTGAGTGAAAAGACAATTTTTTTTTAGACAGATTTTTTCATGCGCTGATAGAAGAATCACTCACAATAAGACCAGAAACGTGAATTAAGAAAGTAATGTCAGTTTGAGTTAAACTCCAACAATGTTAGTTCCGTTGCCAGGTTTATTTTAAATGTTCGTGTGAATTTAGCCAAGAGCTTATAACACGAGTTTTCCAGACTTCAGGTGTTAGCGGTTTTGTGTTCATACAACATCTTTGGCTGTAGGGAAAAGAAAAGCACAGTTTGCGGTGATTAAAGGGAGGAAAGTATTTAGCAGTGTATTTTTAGCAGGGTTCTCCCTCAGAATGTGTCCTGATGCTTGTTTATCAGCTAATGTCCCTATGTGCTGATGTGTTGCCAATCAGGTTAATGAGGTGTTCAGGGCATACACCCTCCTCCCTCTGCTAGCTCAAATTGTTACCAAATGTCTGAGAAACACTCTCTGCCACATATTGAGTCCTGTTGTCATCCGTTTTAGCACAGGAAAACCCTTTCGTGCATAAATGGGTTATGTAGTTTATGTAGTATTTCAGTTTGTTTGTTGAAAGCGAAAGTTTAGGAGTGTAGGTTAACCATAAAGGTTTGGCAGTAAACATTCTTTATGTCTTGTAAACGAAGGAAACTCCTGTCTAAATGGGCTATCTTGGAAAAACAGTGTAGCTTTAACAAAAACAAAAAAAAAAAAAGCTGTGTGCTTAGGGTCATTGTCTTGTTGGAAGGTAAACCTTCGGCCCAGTCTGAGGTCTTGAGCACTCTGGAGAAGGTTTTCGTCCAGGATATCCCTGTACTTGGCTGCATTCATCTTTCCCTCGATTGCAACCAGTCGTCCTGTCCCTGCAGCTGAAAAACACCCCCACAGCATGATGCTGCCACCACCATGCTTCACTGTTGGGACTGTATTGGACAGGTGATGAGCAGTGCCTGGTTTTCTCCACACATACCGCTTAGAATTAAGGCCAAAAAGTTCTATCTTGGTCTCATCAGACCAGATAATCTTATTTCTCACCATCTTGGAGTCCTTCGGGTGTTTTTTAGCAAACTCCATGCGGGTTTTCATGTGTCTTGCACTGAGGAGAGGCTTCCGTTGGGCCACTCTGCCATAAAGCCCCGACTGGTGGAGGGCTGCAGTGATGGTTGACTTTCTACAACTTTCTCCCATCTCCCGACTGCATCTCTGGAGCTCAGCCACAGTGATCTTTGGGTTCTTCTTTACCTCTCTCACCAAGGCTCTTCTCCCCCGATAGCTCAGTTTGGCCGGACGGCCAGCTCTAGGAAGGGTTCTGGTCGTCCCAAATGTCTTCCATTTAAGGATTATGGAGGCTACTGTGCTCTTAGGAACCTTAAGTGCAGCAGAATTTTTTTTTGTAACCTTGGCCAGATCTGTGCCTTGCCCCAATTCTGTCTCTGAGCTCTTCAGGCAGTTCCTTTGACCTCATGATTCTCATTTGCTCTGACATGCACTGTGAGCTGTAAGGTCTTATATAGACAGGTGTGTGGCTTTCCTAATCAAGTCCAATCAGTATAATCAAACATAGCTGGACTCAAATGAAGGTGTAGATCCATCTCAAGGATGATCAGAAGAAATGGGCAGCACCTGATTTAAATATATGAGTGTCACAGCAAAGTGTCTGAATACTTAGGACCATGTGATATTTCTGTTTTTCTTTTTTAATAAATCTGCAAAGATGTCAACAATTCTGTGTTTTTCTGTCAATATGGGGTGCTGTGTGTACATTAATGAGGAAAAAAAATTAACTTAAATGATTTTAGCAAATGGCTGCAATATAACAAAGAGTGAAAAATTTAAGGGGGTCTGAATACTTTCCGTACCCACTGTATATACAATACTGACTTCCTCTGTATAGTTGAGTGAAATGGTGTTGTACGTTTATAAATGTTTTATGATGTTCGGATAATCAGGTTGCTCCTTTCAGCTGATGTCAGAAAAGTGTTGGGGGAAAAAAATGGAAAACAACAGTTTCACTGCAGTGATTCACCATTGTGTCTTAAGTCCCATATGGATTGTGCAACACAGTGATGTTTACAGAGTTGTTGAACCTTTAAACGCTGTTGATTTAATGTAGCAAGTTTTTGACATCCATTACCTGAAAAAATCTTTGAATTTTAAAACACCTTTTTTTTTTTAAAACTTTATTTTATATGCATAAAAACAAACTTCATATAGTTTCAAAGTGTTTTCCATAGTGTTCATCAATAAACAGTTTCCCATAATGAAGTAAATTTTATTTTGTTACATGCTTTGTAAATGTCCGGTTATTACTAGAGCCCGACCGATATATCGTTTTGCCGATATGAGCCTGTCGCCGATATATCGGTATCGGCGAATATGCCGCCGATATGAAATATTTTTTACAGAACATGTAATGCATATAAAATGCTTGAAATGGTGTAATTAGTTTGTCCAGCAGAGCGCGCTCCATTGTTTGCTACTGTCGACCTGGATGAAACGCTTTAAAGCAGGGGTGGGGAACGTTGATCCTGGAGGGCCACTCTCCTGCAGAGTTTAGTTCCAACCCTGAAAAACCCTAGAAAAAAAAAAACCTAAATGCGTCCCGAAGACCTTGATTAGCTGGTTCAGGTGTTTTTGATTAGGGTTGGAGCTAAACTCTGCAGGGACACCGGCCCTCCAGGATCAACGTTC